CCCCAAAACCCCAAAACCCCAAAACCCCAAAACCCCAAAACCCCAAATATTTTACCCAATTGAATGTAAATTTTATTATGCAGCAATTCCTTGACAGCATTTTTGAAATCCGTCATAGAATTTAGTCCTCCAGTTATTGGAAGATTGATCAATCAGCTGGTCTACATACTCCCTACATTCCGCTCTAGACATTACTTTGTTTCTATTGAAGGGGAATAGCCTACTTCTGAGCTCATTAATGACCCTCTCTCTACCACCGTAGAAGCAATCAAGTTCTTCTTGGCTTACGATCATCATTTCAACAAGGCAGATTAAATGTTCTGCTTTCTTTTGGATTGCTGAGAATCCTGATATCAATTTCTGTCTGAATCTTTTAAAGTACTTACTCTCTGGACCCTCTAGGACTTCGATGAACTCATCTGTAAGCTTAAACGGAGCTTGTTCAAAGTTTAGACCTTTCCCAGGAGCATTGGTCAGGAGGAATCCAAAATCTATGTGCATTATATGTCCTTCTGAATCAAGCAAAATATTGCCATTGTGTCTATCCTTTATTTGTAAGATATAGCAGGCTAGTGAATATCCCGCCAAGGATCTTGCAAAAGCATCTCTTGCCTTTGAAAGAGCCTTTTTAGTAGTAAATTTTGTCTTAAAATAATCATCCAGGGATCAAGTAGGATGCTTTTTCTTCAATGCATCAATACTAATTGCATCTGACAAAAACTCTATTAAGCCGCAATCTTTACCTGTAGCGAGTATTTCATAAGTCTTTAGCCAGATATTTAGCTTCTTTTTCTTAAATATTTGATCGATTTGACAAATTAGTTGCATTGCAAATTGCTCTTGTCTCAGATCATCTCCACTCTTAACGATAAGTCTGAGTAATTTCCAAGTTTTTAAGTGCCCAAAAATGCTATGCTTGCGAATTCTCCTCTCTTGTTCAGTAGCAGTCTCTCCTGATACCTTTATATCTTCATCAGAGTTAGTCACTGATTGATCATCTTCGTTAAGAAGATTGGATTTCGAGAAGGTATACTTTTCTTCCTCATAGTTATTTTTCCCAAAATTGTTAGGTTCTATTTTTATTGGTTTTCCTGTAGCTGAAAGCATGCAGGGCTTGTTGAGGTGTCCTTTTGTCACAATAACACTATTCTTCTGGATTATAGGACCTTCGTAGAAGTCCCCAATTCATGAGGGAGAATGGACTAATTCACTAGTGTCATGTTCATCAGATTTTCCCTTCCTTGTTAGATTGGTGCCAGCAAGATTATCATTCTCCTTGTGGGAATTTGATTTCTCAAATTCTATTGGAGAAGGAATGTCTATTGCATCTGATAATTTTCTCAGTGAATTGGGCTGTAGAGAATTCATATCTCCCGTAAAGGTCCTGCTCATACTTCTCGGTTGGTTAAAATCAAGAAAATCACTGAAGGGATCATGCTTCTTAATTTTCTTGAGACTGACAAGATGAGAGAATTTTTCATCAGCGAATTTATCAATCTTCTTAATTAAGTCTTCTTTGTGAAGCTTGTTCTTTTTAAATAGTGTTTTCATAATATCAAATTTTCTTTTGTTTTGAGGTTTACGCTTCTCTAAATGTCCTCTAAGAGAATCTTTGACAGCACCATGGCTTTTGTGTTTAGTCTGGAACTTAGGAGGACTGTCTATGTTATCTTCTTGAGGGGGAAATTTTTCCTCTTTCTCAATCACATTACTTTTGATTAAAAAGTTTTTCCATTGTGTTGCAACTAAATATGTTACGCGAATCTTACCTCTGTTTGTAGATTTATTTTGCATCTCAATATCTAGGAGTTCTTCTTCATCCTCACTCGAAGAGCTGTCTTCAATCTGGTCAATTTTCTCTCTAAATTCTTTTTCTTGAGGTCTGAATACTTCTACTCAGACCAAGAATGGAGCCCGTTCTTTAGTCACAAAGACTTTGGCTTCCATCACATTTATGTGAAGGACCACATAATTACGCATGGAAGCATTCACGAATGGGATGTATACTGAAGCAGGCAAGTGCATATTTATTTTCTGTAGTCCTTCAAAGAGAGCACTCTCTCTATCAATAGAGTTCAAGATTATATTTCATAAATTAGTCAGGGAGAACACAAAGAAAGGTGTGGATAAATACCCATTTTCATTTGTCAAATTTGTCTCAACCCCCATCGTGTAACAATATTTCTCAAGAGTGATGTCAGAAGCACATATCTTATTTCCGATATCTATGAATTGTGTGAGGAGATAAGATTTCTGTCTTTTTGTAGTTTTCAATGACTTCTTCGATCTCTTTCTGTGTGTGCTGCCCATTTTCTCTATATTTATGGATGTTTGGGATAGTGGTCTGGGATAAAGTGGCTAGAATGCTCTGGATGTTTTCATTTACAGAGTCATCTGTAGACATGAGGGATTCTAAGAAAAATAACACTCTGTGTGAAAAGAAAATGTTAGATTGTGCAGCTATGATAATAAACCGTTTTAAGTCATCAAAATCATCTTCAAAAAGGCAGTATGAGCATAACTGAGGGAGATAAAACTCGAGATCGTTTCTAAAGATTGAGGTGAAATCAGGATTGAGTCTGATTTCCTCAAGTTCTTCTACAATTCCTTCTTCTCGAGCATAAAGTTTGAGCAATGCATCAAGAGGATCTCTATTTACGTTCACCTCGTCTTTTAATCCACCTTTTAAACCTTTTAGCAACTAATTTTCTTGGAGGCTCAGCATCACTCTTGAAACAGAATCATCATCAGAAAAGATAATAAAGAATTACAAGGAGTGGGTAGAAAGATTTGTATAATCAGGATGTTCCTTTATGACTAAAATCACTTAAGTAACTCATCTCCACATCAATGGAAGGAAGGTCTTTATACTTTGAGACAAAATCATTCTTCATAAGGTCTTCTTGGTCTTGCTCATAGTCTTGGAGGAGTGGCTCTTTTTTGTCTTCCATATATAGTTATTTAATAATTTAGCATCGTTAGGGGTTTTGGGGTTTTGGGGTTTTGGGGTTTTGGGG